GATTATAAAATAGTCTTCTGCACCCTTCCGATTCTTGCCAAGCGCAAAACATTAAGGACATTAAATACGTGTTTCCAATATAGAGACTATGAAAACGCCGACTGGAGTAACTTTCGGTTTCTTATGAAGCATTCTGACTGGAACACTTTCTTCACCAGTGATAACCTTTTAGAAACACTGGAAATATTCAATACTACCACCAAATCTGCCCTAGACACTATTATCCCTTCTAAAATTGTTTTCAAAACAATTGCTCCCTACATCAACCAAAAGGCTAAGTCTAAGCCACGAAAACTAAGAAAGACGAACTTTATATCAAAAGACTTTAGTGCCCTGCACCAGGTATACTCTGTACTTGAAGGAGTGTAAAGTCGTCACAACAAAAACAAACAGACAGAAGAACGTACTGCGCTCACAGATGCATCTAAAGTACAAAACTTATGTCGGCTCCTTGCAAAACGGATGAGAAAGAACGAAGATCACAACATTCACTCTTTACTGCACGATGGTGTGACGTACTATGACCAAACCGTCATATGCGAACTGCTTAGTGAGTGGTTTTCACAAAACGGGAATACATCTAATGCCCCAGATGTTAACATAAAATGCATAAGCAAAAGCTATATTAGCACCATAAACTTTGACATTAGGAGTATACATACCGCCATCAAAACCCTTAAGCCGAATGCGAGCTCTGGTGTCGATGATATACCATCAATTCTCCATAAAATGTTGGGGCCGGATATACATACGTTATTGCTCAAAATATACACACAATCATTAGAGGCGGGTACACATCCTGAAGCCTAGAAGGTGACGTATGTTCTTCCCAAACATAAATCAGGACCGAGAAACCTGGTCGGAAACTACAGACCTATAAATATCACCCCAGTTATTTCGCGCATAATGGAAAAAGTGATATAAAGTCAACTATCAGATCACCTACTTAAGGAAGAACTAATAGACCCAACACAGCATTAGAACAAGATCACGTAGTACATGTCTGATAGACTTCTTTAGCGAGGTTACTCGCATACGTGACCAGAAAAAGTTAGTGATTACACTTTATTTCGATATAAAGAAAGCCTTTGATAAAGTACTCCATAATCTTCTAATCAACAGACTCCAGTCAGTTGGAATTATAAACCTCCTATTGCAATGGATTAAGTCTTTCCTCACAAACAGATACCAAATAACCAAGCTTAACTCTACAACATCTACACCTCGACCAATAACCAGTGGTGTTGTGCAGGGTAGTGTCTTGGGCCCATTGCTCTTTATAATTTATATCAACAATATATGCAAGTGCTTTATTACAGGTAAGACCTACCTTTACGCTGATGACTTAAAAGTCATCTATAAAACTGACATTGGTGGTGTACGAAGTACTATGCAAACGATCCAACATGAACTCAACAAAGTAGACGACTGGCGCAAATGCTGGGGGCTAGAGCTCAATACAGAGAAATGCTGTTGGCTATGTATTGGTAACACGTCACTTAAACTAAAACTAGCACTTAACAAAAACCCACTGCTCAGACTGACATCAGTAACTGACCTTGGGGTACATTACTCTGACAGTCTTAACTTCTCTGAACATATCTCAACTAAAGCATCTCAAATGCGGGGATTGCTTGGCTTCATCCTTCGTAATTTCTTTCAAAACGAAACTAAAATCATCCTGTATAAAACCTACGTAAGACCCATCGTCGAATACTGCTCGTTCTTATTTTCCAACCTACGCCTATCTGATATACTTAAGGTGGAAGGAATACAGCGAGACTTCACTCACAAAATACTTAAGAATGACCAACTCACTGACTACAAATCCAGATGCCATATCTTAAGACTAGAACCCCTCTGGAAAAGAAGGCTTAGGTCTAACTTAATTCCTTATTTCAAACTCCTTAAAAACCTTACTTATTCCACATGTAATATAGCTCTCTACCAAGACTCACATGGATACAACCTTCGAGACAAAGTATCCACTATCAAAATTGAAAAACACAGATCAAAAACACGTGAAAACTTCTTCCTTATCAAGTACGCATTGATATGGAACAGTCTGCCTTCTGAAATACGCATGGCAAACAAATAACATACGTTTACAAGACTCATTGATCAAGCCCTCACCTGCATAGATCTGGTGCAGACGAACACATCCACGTCCAACACAGACATTATAGTTTCTCTACATATATAGACTGAATCATCTTATTTCTCTACCTTGTAGTTGTATTAGATACTTTCCCCTCACTAATTCTTTTCAATCGAAGTAGACAGACAACTCACTGGACCTATCAATACTCGGTCGCTAAACGACGCTTATAAATACCCTAAAACTTCAGAAGAAACGCACAATCGACTGCCTACTGCCAGTGGTCGTGCAACCACAGAACCTGTCACCCATCAACCGGTTAGTATAGGACAAAACAACCTCAGCGCGAATTTAGTGTGAGTTACTTCTTGTCTATTTATCAGCTTTTTACTCATCTGTACACTATGTTGCCTTGCCATTAATATTATTTCACCACTCGTTATCTTACCTTATCTGTAACCAATATAAATCTCCACTTTTCCACCTATTATGGTAAACAAATATCCTACACTATACCCTTCCTAATGCCTATACTCTGATTCGTAACACACACTTTAATATATAGTCAATAAAAACATTGCATCGAAGCCTTACCCACAGTCCATAATTTGTAACTGTCTGATAAGCTTGTAACATGGTACTGATAGAAATAGTGTTTTCCAACAGGATGTGAAACATAGAGCATTGTGTGAGGCATGATATGTATCCAAAAAATAAGCATAAATGAGCCTAACATCACAAAAGGAGGGAGGGTGGATTTACTGACGAGCAAGCACTGACGGTGAGGGCGATGATTTCAATCCACCCGTGTTTGTGGGACAGAACATTTTGTTTGTATCAGGCTCTTTATGGATGAGAACAAGTCAATAGATATGTGATATTGAGATTGCTGTCCTACACTCACCATTCAGACTCATGTTTCTAATTTTTGTGCTTGATTAACTATTCTACTGAGGCAACCTTTAACATGCTAACTCGGACTTTTACATGAAAACTGTGTGGCAGGCATCGGATGATTAAAAAAAACTGACTGTAAAGGATATGGTTGCTATTTTACTCAACACTCTACTCTATATATGCACTCTCTGTTCTTACTCATTTCAACCCTGACTTCCCTCCTTCATTAGAATCTACTCCACCTTGATAAATATCACAACTCATTGTTCTTTATTACTGCGTTCTCTCCTCTGGAGCCCCTAATGGCAGTTCACTCTTGCAACATGAGCTAGTATCAATTTAATCTAATGATTTATCATACCGCCATCTGTTCCACTATTAAATGTTAAGCATTGGTTATCGTTCATATCCAAATGCCTTGCTGCTACTCGGTTTCTTTTTCTTTTTTTTCTCTTGAGAATCTTACTCTGAAAGTGAAGCTATGTAACTTCTGACATCTGGAACAAGCTCGAAGAACGCGCTTTCCCAAGGTCATAGTTCGAACCAGGCACTCCACAAGCCTACTTTATAACAACTATAAACTTAAAAAGCTGCATTACATAAATATTTAGCACGACCGAAACCCTAATACACTTTTTGTCGAGATTTGATCTGGTATGTAACGTGGACGCCATGCCCCTTTGGAAACTATTCTTATGAAAACACATTATATCTGAACGAATGAACTGCTATCAACTTTTATAGATTATAATTACTAAACAAGCTTGCTTGGGATGCATACTGTGAACCAGTATATGTTGTAAATTGTAGATCATGCCTGTAAAGATGGCGTGTACCTGCTATTGCAGAAATATATTATTATTATTATTAAAACGTGTGAGTGCATGTCGAAAATACACTCGTACTTGCGTAAGGACACAAGATGAGCGGAAAAAACTAATACAATTGCAAACAGCGTGAAAGCGATGTGGAAAAAAGTGGGCTTTTTTGTGTTTTTTTATATATAAAAATATAAATACGCTCAAAAAATGGTAATGTTTTTTTGTTTTTTCAAATAAATAATAAATGAGCATATTAAAAAACATTTTCTTAAATAAACTATGAAAGGGTAATTCAAGATAAAGCTTATGTCCTACGTGCAATATTCGTTAGGATGTTCTGGAAATCTTACTCTTCTTCCAGAACGCGTTGTTTTAGGTTTATCTATCGACGTTGACGAAGGTTCAAGTTGTGTGTCGGTTTTCGTGTAGGGTACTACGAGTGCAGTAGCTGTGTCGTTTGCTTGTACCAAAGGAAAATCGACGTAGCTAGGGTTTCCTTCTAGGTACGCTGCTTTCAGTCGATCGATACTGATGCTATCGTTCGTACCGTTCTTATCGACTACATAGTACTTAGGTTCGCGTTGAAGAACTTTGAAGGGTCCTTCGTATGCTGATTCGAGGGGTCGTCGATGTGAGTCTCGACGAACCAAGATGTGTGTACTATGTCGTAATTCGGGTTGAACGAAAACATCAGTTGATTGAGGTCGAGTGTGAGCAGGTTTAACTGAACGCATAGCGTTTGTAAGCCTACTCGCATGTTAAGAGATATGAGTATGCGTTCGAGTTTGGTAAGGGTTCTACCAAATCTTAATGGACGTGGTCGAAACGAGCGTCAGGGGTTTTGAAAGAGCCTAAGGGACATTTGTTGTGTCTGATTACCTTAGATTTCTGACAGCTTACACAGTAGCGTGCCCACTCCTTCATGTCTTTATTCATGCCAGGCCAACAAAAGCGTTCGGCTATAAGTTTGACTGTTGTACGAGCACCTGGATGAGAAAGATTGTGCAACGTATTGAAGACGTTGTGTCGATGATGACGACCTAATTCATCTTCCCCTTACTATTGATGTTTGGTGTCACGTTCTACGTTTCGTACGTAACCAACCTAATAGTCGTCTACATAAGGCTGTGTATAACTTTAAACTGATAATACTTCTGAAATTATCCTCAGTGATAAAAATCTTTCGCAGAGAACAATTTGTGTTTGCACTACAATATGAGAGTTGTTATCAGCTTGGACAAAGACGCACATGTTTTAATAACTCATTTATGTTCATAGCAGTAAGAAGAAAGTTGCTATCATTTTGCATACAAAGCCAGAAAGTTGCCGAATGGGACTGCAACTTAACTAAAAGGGGATTTTTCGCCATGAACCTTGCAACATGTCACTTCTGGAATTTAACGACTGATAGATATTGTGCAGTAATTAATAATCACAAACCGTTCATCACTTTTTCAAACAGTCGAGCCATAAGTACTTTACTCGTGGCCCGACAAAACCAGCTTATATATATATCAGTTCACTTCCTACACTTAACTTGGTGAGTATGGTTGGAGATGCTGTGCTTGCAGAAAATTCCTTGTATCGTTTCTCTTATTCTTATGTGGACATTATTTTGTTCCTGATCATGGTCAATCTAAAAATTTGACTTGAACAATCGTAAGTTTCAGAGGATCATAGACTTCATATGTTTTACTGTAAAAGTTATTCCTGTTTTAACATTGGAAGTAATAATAAGTTGTGTTTTCAGATGATTAGTGCTTAGTGTTGTATCACATCAGAAGACAAGTCAAGGGCGAGTTCATGCTCAAGCCGCTGATTTTAAGTACGCAGCGGATAAACCTGCTTTGCTGTTCATCAAAGTTCACAACGTTCTGTTACTCATTTGTTATGACCAGTCCTGAAGATCTCAGTAGTTCAGTATGTAGTTTCTTTATGGTCAGTGTATTTGTCATAGGAAATACAAGCTTTTATCACCAAAGTTAAAAGTTTACCCGGTGGAACTAACATTCAGCAGGATGAAGCTGAAAAAGCCGCTCATTTGTACCTCAGAGCTCGCAAGAGAGATGTGGAACGTGCTGTGGAATTGTACAAAGCTAACAAGGTATGCAGATATTTTGAAATTATAAATTATTGTAACCTCTACATTGAGGTATAGTATTGCTGCTAACTTCTTAATAAGCTTGAGATAAAGTGGGCAAAGTATAACCCCAGTCAGCCTTTTAATTGTCTGTTCATTGCGAGTCGCTTTTGTGTAAAGCACATTTACACTTCGCCTGATTCTTTTCATGATATTCAGCTAAAACTGCCTAGTTTATTTGTCGAAGTATTAACTGCTCAATTTGATCGGAATATTATTGTCTAAATCTTATTTCTTTCAATAATTAAAGATAAAACTGACTAAACAAATATACTCGAAATACTGACAACTGGGTGGTATGAAGCGATATAGAAAGTAGGGAAAGCCTATGTTTACAAGGTACGAGCCAATACTGCATTAAATATCTTACTGTCAAAATTCAGCAAGTTTCGATTGTTGTCTTTTAAGGGAATCGCCCATCTAGTTGAATCTTTAGTTCAGATTTCCGTTTACCCTGAAGTGCAGGAATTTTCGTCTTTACAATACTATGATGTGTGCTTTTGTCGAATGTGACTACTATAAAAAAATTGTCAATATTCACCTAGTTGAGGTGGCTAAGTATCCGAGTTTATGCCAGAATTTTTAGACACTCGCAATAAAACAACAAAACGAACTACTGATCATAATATACACAACTCTCGTTTAGCAAATGACGAATTCACAATACTTTTTAGCTTGATTTATCTCGCTAGTATTTTGTGTTATTTGTTTTTGTGAATGAATTTTCAGGTCCTGTATCTTAAATGTTCTTAAAAAGCTTCCTTAGACATTCCATTTTATTGTCTCATTACTGATCTCACCATCGCTTTCAACCTTGCCACCAATAATGTTTTTGAAATAGTTCTAATGGAACTAGGTAATAATAGTTTGTACCTATTAACTTGAGAGGAACTTTCTGATCTTGAATATCCGAATACAATCCCCTTACTGTGTTATAAGGTGTTAAAACAATACAGTCGACAAATAATCATTTGTTAAACTATGCGTAGGTATGGCTTGTGCTTCTCACTTTTTAAATGCAAAGTACTATGAGACAGGAAGGAGCCCTTATCTGCACTAGCTCCTGAAGGCGAGGTGTTAGGAGTAACTATTGAGTTCGTCTGTTTGGGTGTTGATGGTGGTGTGAATCACGAGATCAATCTATGTAGCGAAAGTCAGAGCGGCTTATACCAATTCTGGCCGTTATTGGAGCCGTAGTGATGTTAGTCTGGCCTTTCTAGGTCGGATCTACAACTCGCCGGTGAGAGCTGTCTCGCCGTATTCTGGCATCTGAGTTGAAAATGCTGACGTTCAATGAAGATACAGTCATAGCAAATATCCGGCGCTTCAGCTGGGTTTGTGAATACGGAAGGTCCACCTAGGGGAGTGAGAAAACTCTGGTTCCAAACTAATGGTACACATGGGCTCCAGTATCCTGAGGGAACAAATGGCGTATGAACCAATTGTTAATCACCGGCTACCATGGGACTGCATCTCCTGACTCTGGTCTACTGCCTTGTGGAACAGACCTTTATGTCGAATGCTCCGGGTGTGGTCCCTTAAGAAAACCACTTATTTCGGTTCGTGCACCCGGATAGTATCACAGCCCACATACAAATCAAGTGACTTGTGTGGCGCATATGTACCTGGTGCTTCCTTGTACCAATATTTATGTGTTCAAATAAAAAAAACAGTCTCAGTAATGCAGCGGTCCAGTATAGTGATGATAATCAAGTTGATATCGCCATCTGAAAATACCGGCTTTGGTAGCCTGAACATATGTTACAACCATGATTTCATCGGCTTATACATCTTACATTATTTGCCGATGCTAGGGCTGGTTAGAAAAAACGAAGTGGTGGTAAGTTTGTGGCACAACGCCGGTTTGTGGAGGAAAACCGTATTGGACTGGTATCTGTAGGTCCATCACGACTCCTTGGTTGATGTCTTAAAGCTAGTGTGACTTAGTGGCTCGAGATATTGTCATACATGGCTTAAAGTAGAAACCAATGTTGGTCGTGCTGTAATTTACCCCTTATAAAATTGAAAAGATCTCTAATTGAAAGGTTTCCTCGTATTTTTCTTGATTGAACTGTTTTTCCCATTGGCCAGTGCACTCGTTCGTTTACTGTTTATTAAATTATTTGTTTTTGATTATACTTTCCTTCATCTTTCTCCACAATCTCATTTTCTTATTCGTGCTGTGCATATTTATTTTGATGCCTGTCTGTGCTAATACGTGTTCAAATAAATAATTAAAACTAGCTCATCATGTGTAACACTACGATCTATACAAGTTCACACTATTCTTAAATAACTTATCTTCCTTAAATAATGAGGCTCAAATTTGGTATCTCTCCTTTATTTAGACCTGCACAAGCAAAAATAAAGCAAAGATACCATTAGTAAAATACTTATAACCTTTTAATGTTAAAATTAAGTAAATCATTACCGTAACGCTTAAGATATGAAAGTTTCTACGGCAGTAAAACACAGTTTATATGCAGCAATTCAGCACAATAACTATGATACTTATTGCAGTCTTTTTTACCCACTTCATGACTACTAAATACAATAAAGGAAACAAGAAAATCTGTTTAACAGTGTATTAAAGGTCCTATCCTTAATTTATGAATACTCTTCAGTTAAAAATGTCACTCAGCGATCTAGAATTTTTCTAGCTAATAAACTTCAAACTACTTGTTGTATGTAAGTCAGTGGTACAACTCTGCCGCTAACACTAAAGCAGGTGGTGAAAAGTTTGAAATTACGATCAAAACCCCCCTATAATGTTCAAATTTATACAGTTTAGTTGACTTGTTGCTAAAGTTGGATAAATTCTATGCACACTAGATAAATCTTTTTGTTTTCAGTAAATATTTAGGTGGATCGTTTTTTGGCAGTCCACAACTGGTCAATATTTTGAACCATTCTTGAGTATACATTAAAGATGAATTTTACTGGTATTAATTTGTAGTCCTTTGTATTCCTGTCACCTTATTGTTATAATAACCCATTACATTGTTCGAGGTAGCGAAAGGGGCGTATTGAAATTGTGGATCAGTGAAACTTATTGTTTCTAATTTTTAGATTCTCAAATTTAGCACACCGCTTTCAGAAATTTTCTCCAGTTCTTCTAAATAACAGGTTATTTAATATCGCTTTCGAACAAATTCATCGATTTGCTGCGATTACATCAACCTCGAAGTCGTCAGTAAAAAAGACTTTGGTGAATTGGCAAAAAAACCCAACTTATCATTTATCTAGTCCTTAGTTTACAACTTAACATAATCTGATGTTAGACTTTTATACTGCTCACGTTGAGTTGTCTTATTTGGACTAATTAGTGTCGAAATTTGATTTTCAAGGTTGTGTCAAGAATTTTTATAGTATTTTCATCAAATCACGAACCTACATTTTTTAGTTAAATTTATCTGATATAAGCAGTCCAGTTTTGAACTATACCATTTCTTCATTGAAAATTTATATGGCAAATTTACTATACAATACTTCAATAAATTAAGAGTGATGTCAATCAAACCAGGCAAATCCAATAATATATTATAATGGGACTCACTTTCCAAGTACAGGTCTATGTATTCAGTTTTGAATCACAGTGTAGTGACTAGTGATACGATCCTCAGCCGTGCAAACAGAAGTAGGTGGATCGGGATTCAAACACATGACTAGCTGAATAAATAATAAGTATTTTAACCCAAAAACTAGGATAGAAATAAAATTCTAGTGTCTATAGACCGGTTAACTAAATGGTAGTCAATGATGAACAATAGAATTTGATCTATAGTAAGTAATGGGTAGTCATCACATTGGTTGCAACTTAGTGATCAATCAATAGTACCAATCGAGCATTAGTCCATGAAGTCATTGACTGTTGGTCTAAGACATTATTCTTGACAATTTTAATCCTCTGTATTGATGTGTCTCAATCAATTCTAATCAGTGCTCATATGTTCCAGGTTGTACGTTGCTTGTGACTGACTTTTAGTCTTATAGTCTTGTCCATCACATGGGCATTGTCGATCGAATGTGAAAAAGACAGAGCTATACTCAGTCATGAATATAATCGTTCTACCTATAAATGTATACTTCCATTATATATTGCTAAAGTGACATATTGGTTAAAACGTTCATCTTTGAACCAGTAAGTCACAAGTTTGAAGTCCACTCCATATATTTTGTTATGGGAAGTGAGGAACAGTATCACTATCCTTCATACAAGTAGTATTGTTTAAAGTCCCGATTACAATACACCTACACTTAATAGATGAGTTTGATTATCCGTCAAGATCTTAAGCGTTAATGGTATGATCAGTATTCTTTCATGCAATAACTAATATGTACTCAATTCATTTGTATTGGTTGTCTATAAGTAAATAAAATATAAACCTACTCGTTTATTTTTCTCAATTGATTTTCTATTTTTAGCGAATGCGCTATACCGAAAATGTAGATTCAATCGATCCTTTAGAAGATGGAGTTCGACGTGAACTTTTATCTGGTAAATTTACTGTATTAGTAAGTTTAATCGATAATAAGCTGCGACTTTCAGTTTTTGTTTAATTACAACATTTTATTATGCACTTTAATTTAATTTATTATTATTTTATGAAATTAATAAGTAGTCTATTCCTCTTGGTAGTAGTAAGGTTGACTTGCTGTTTTTTGTAATTAGTTGTAGATTCTCATCAGGGTTTTTTATTCGTCTATCATTGTTTGAAGTTTAACTAATATCAGTATAAACATAGTACTGTACTACGGGTTGGAATATAGGTCAAGAAATATTTATTTATGGTTATGTTTTGATTTGTGTGTAAGTATTTTAAAAATTTGCCCAACTCTATCAGTCAACTCGGCTAAGATGGTACAGTTGCATTGATTTCTCTCTAAATTTTATGTTTTGTGTCATTTCACTCCACATCTTTATATGTTTCTTTTAAACTATATTCTTCCAAGACTAGCTTTTTATTTCCATTCGATACTTTCGCTCTCATACCTCTCTTGTTTCCAGTTTTCTCTGTTTTTATGTTGATATAAGCTATGAAAACGTAAACCAACACACAGATTATGTGTTGACCTGGACTATCTGATGACTGAATGGATAATCAAATCGTTGGATTAGGTTAATTTTATAGAAAGGTAGATCTGGCAAGTTTCATATTTTGTGAATGCTAGCAATTGAAGTTAGTTTCGTAAGATCATATTCTCAACTCTATCACAAACCGTAGTCAGGTTTCTTTACTTTTTTGTGGGACATTTAAAGAATAATCATGCAGACACCCTGTCTTGTTCAATAATAATGGGCTCTAACCACATTTCAGTTGATCAATGTCCAACAAACTTTATTAGACTTTCAACTTAACCATCATGGCAAAAACGTTTTATCCCGATTTTTTGTATTTATGTATGTATTTTAATGGTTAACATCTGTTAGTTTGTTAAAATGTGATTAGCTCTAATTAACTTCTGAAAAAAGTTTGCTGATACTATATTGAGAAAAAGAGCAATGTTTGCAACAATTGTTTACTGACATTAAATAACAGGAGATAAAGAGAAAAGAAATGAAGTTAATAAGTTCAACTAGGCTTGTATTCGTTCTAATGATGAAATAATCGGTTATCTCATTAGTATGTACAACACGAAAACTAAGTCCTGTATAAGGTGCCAAAATACAAAAATCCTTGCATATACAATTAGTTACTTTAATTAAACACATCTTTAGTTCGTACTTAAAACTATTTAATTCTGTTTTCAGTAAAATCATAAACAGATCTAAGTCAGACCACCATTGAAAACCTAGAAGGATTGCACAACCACTTCGTCCTAACATAGGATCCTCAGAAGTGCGCAATCACGATTTTGCATGCGAGACTCGCGCGCGAATGCTTAATTTCTAAACCACGGGATCCAACAGTGTTGATGTCTAACTTTAATCAATCCACAACATTGCGCGACCATCTTCCATTATCTTCGGTTGGTAACCTCCTCATACTCGACACGAATTAGCTGCAATAGTCACGGCTTGCACTAGAACTCTGGAAATTTTCATTTTAAAGCCAGTCACTAGTAAGGACATGATAATTGTAAGTAAGCGGTTGTGGAGATTGTTGAATTTTACCGAAATCAACTTTAGACCATCATTAAGAACCTGGAAGCAATGTACAACCGTTTCGTTTGTGTACGGAATTTAGCACTGTGCATCCACGATCCCGCTCATGGGACTCGAACCCATTTTGTGAATAATCAATATTGTCTTGAGACCATCAGATTCTCTGTATTTTCGTTTACCTACCTATAAAACAAAGCTATCAATTCGGTCTAATTTAAATATGTCGTGTAACTTTTAAAAGTGCGGAGAGTCAGCTCTCCCTCTCGAAATGCTCTCACATGGCCACGTGCATGCAACCACTGTCAGGGAAGTCCTACTCAATGCCTTTTCGCGGTGAGGTAGCGTGTTGTTTAAGAAATTTAAAGGACAAAAAGCGAACGTCTGGCTCTTTAACCGGGTTGGTGGATACGGGAAGTCCACCTATGGGAGTTGGAAAACCCTGATTCCAAACCAATGGTGCACATGGGCTTCAATATCCTGAGGGAACAAATGACGTACGGACCTATTGTTGGTCTCCGGCTACTCTGATAATGCATAATCGTCTCTTCATGTTGCTCCACTGCCTTGTGGATTAGACCTTTAGGTCAAAGGCTTGGGATGTGACCCCCTAAGAAAACCATCTGCTTCGGTCTGGGCACCTGAGCAGTATTCCTGTCCTCACACAAATCGAATGATTTGTTTGGTGCCCGCTTGTACCAACGTTTATGTGTTTAAATAAATAATAAATAAATAAGCAGCTATTTAAAGAAAAAGAGTTTCATAGTTCACTAATATTTGACTATATGTATCTTCAGTGAAGTCATGACAACTGAGTAAACAATGCCAAAATTTGAACATTCGGTATTTCTGTATTAAATGTTATAAATCACAGACGATGAAGTTTATGAATATTCGATAATGCAATATGATAGCTTTATAATATTTTCATCGAGTCCTACGTTGATTTCTACGTTGTAACTGACCTTTAGTTATAATCTACGTTTCCTTGTAACTTCAGCATATTAGGAAGTTTCTAATCAAACCCTTTCTACAATCAGTTTAATTGATATATGACTTGATAGTTTTTTCATATTTGTATATTGTTGGTTTGTTGAATATTTTACTGATAAATAATAATAATAATACCTATCGATCATGTCTTTAGTAATGTTTCCTTTTATTAATTAAACCATCATAAAACAGATTCACCTGACTAAGGTTTGACATTCTTCGACTGTATATATATATCGTATAGCTCTAGTGTTCCTTAACATTTACACACTTTTCTCTCATTCGACTTTTTTGTTATCTTTTTCTCGAATTTTATTGCTTGCCTAAATGCAATAATTGTATCGATTCTTAATTATTAAACATTTTACGAAACAATATGCTTACTAGAGATGCTTCAATATCTTTTCGCTATGGTATACAAACTTTTTTTTGTCCCGAAGGGCTAATAAAAAAAGTGTAGTTAATTTGAAAATTGTTTCCATCTATGGACTAAAAAAACGTACTAATTTTTTTGTGGTCATGTGCGTGTGTATGTGTCTTCAAAATTAAACGGATCTTCAGAAATTGCCTAAAAATGTTTACTGACGTTACTTACTACATGATCATGGAACATTTAACTTTTTTGAAATTATTTAGCTTAAGATGTTTCTAAATTAACATCTGCAATAAACGTAATTTCTCTAAAGTGAATAATATTAGAATTTATCAGGTAAATTGTCTTCATATGCATTTGTTGTACAACTGTTGTCATAAAATGCCATTGACAATAATCTCAACTCTTGTATGTGACTTCATGGATCATTTATCCCTCAACAGACTTTCCTGTTTTCGAAATTTCATTTTAAACAAAGTTCTTAACAATTAGTGCGTTTTTATTGTCGTTGATAAAATTGTAAATTAGTTGTTGTATAATAGTAAGAATTCCAATCCTAAAACGAATAAACCGTATCTTTTTTTTCGTTAGATAAAGGCAGACAACATTCACATGATCATTTTTATCATTATTAATATACCTTTTCTTTTCAGCCTACTCTTCCTGATGACGAAATGGATGCAACTGTTGCTATATTTACAGCTTATCGTCATTGGCCTCCTTTAACTACGCATAGAGATACTTTAAAAGGTGTTTTATATCAGTTAGATGCAGTAATGATGGAGTAAGTAATTCTGTCTTTGTACATTTTAACAGAGGATATATTCGATTAAACTATTTATTTGAATAATAATAATAACACGTTAACATGTGTTCATTTCCCTGTTAATTTGTTTGCATTTCCTTGTTGTCGAGGTCAATGACCGCTAGTAACTACTCTCTATTTCTCTTCTAATGGTGACTGAACATTTCCAATTTTATAAAACAATAGAAATTTATCATATTCTGATATTATTATAATTCTAAACTCTTCCATTTGACCCATTTACTGTTACCATAGTATCTTCTATTCATACATTTTGATAAATAAATTCTAAATCTCATTTTTTTTTCTATTATAAAGAATCTAGTTTTACACCTGTTGAGATTTATCATTAATAATGTTTCATTTTCTTATAAATTACATGAATTTTAAAGTGAAAATAGTAACTCAAATAGGGTAAAAGTCATCTTCCTGTCATCCTGAATTAATAGTTTGAATAATAGATGAGAATATTGTGTAAGTAATTAAGGGTTAACTTATATAGAAGTTCTGTTAATGGATACATATCATTGAACAAGAAATTCATAATAAGTATACTTTTAAGAAATCCTGCAAATTAAAATAAAACAGTTACGGAGTACTACTGAATTTTTGACTAGTCTTTTACCCAGCTGATGGAAACAGTCATTGTATGGCTTTTGTTACAAATTATGGGAGTATTCCGTTTTTTTTCCTCTTGCTTTTTTAAAATTGTATATCATACAGAACAGAAATACATCTAGTTTGGTTTTCATTTAAGTGGAGTTTTGTTCTCTGAGCTGGATGGTTTGGTCGTGTAGCCTTCATTGTTCCTCTGAACGACATCATCAGCACAAACTTCAAATAGAAGTGAAGTGTTCGGATTTCCTCAGGTATGACTGACAGCCTATCCAGTCAACCTCGATCTTAATTGGTTATTGTTGATCTTTAACCTGTCATTGCCTACTTCTTTATTTTGATTGTATCCACAGTTGTCTACATGCATTGATATTAGCGAGAATATTGCATGGCGTTTGACTGCTAACTGATGTTCGTGCAGGTGAAGATGAAGGGGTCGTCCACTTTATCCAATGTAGTGTTTTCCGCAGTTGGAACAATTTATTTTGTAGATGATGTTCAGTTTTTCCTTTCATCTCGTCCTTTGGTTTGCATAGAATGCATTGAAGTGATTTTGCTCGTTTGTGTGCTACACCTATCCCAAACGGCTTCAATAATCTCGTTGTAATTTCTGATGTCTTTTATACATGGTAGGATGATCCGTTTGTTGGTTTCTGTACTTGATTTTGTTTCTGCTGATGCCTTGCGTTGACATTTTTGATGAAGTTGATTGGGTAGCTTTTCTTTTGAAAAATAGTCTAGATATTTTTCTTCATTTTTCCACGCTACAAGTGTGTTGCAATGTGTCCTCGCCCTCTCAAACCACTTATCTTGTCGTGGTCGACGCCTTCTCAAAATGGTCGGAGATTGTACCCGTCACGCCACCAACGACCACCCAAACGCTGAAACATCTGACTGAGTTGTTCGCACGGAACGGATTACCGAAAGTGATTGTATTCGACAATGGGTCGCAGTTCCAAGAATTCTGCAAACGCCTATCCATCAGGCATCTTCGCGCCCCACCTTATCTCCCACAATCGAATGGGCAAGCGTAAAGGTTCGTGGATACGTTCAAGAGGGCTCTGATTAAGTCAAAAGGGGAGGGGACGCCAGCAGAAACACTGCAGATTTTTTTATTCGCCTACAGAACGACGCCTAACGAAACGCTGCCGGAGCAGGAGTCCCCCGCAGAGATCCTCATGGGGAGAAGGTTGAGGACTATCCACAACTTGATTCTACCGAAAACCACACCACCACTATCGCAAACCACGTCCCGGGAGCTACTCACATACAACGTTGGATGCCCAGTATTCGCTCGAGACTACAGAGCAAATCGTGATCCTTGGATCGAAGCACGTGTGGTTAGAAGGGTAGGTAGAGTCATGTACGAGGTCGAGGTAGGAGCAGATAGGTGGACGAGGCATCGAAACCAACTACGCAAGCGTTCAGCCCCAGCGCGCCCAACAACCGAAGGAAAGATCCCGCTGGACATATTGTTGGATACGTTCAATCTGCCGGTCGCCCCTACACAAGAAGAAACACAAAACGTCGATCTACGGTCCCGAAGATGGTCACTGCGCCAACGGCGACAGACAGTTAGAATGCAGGTGGACCCAAAGAATGTCCGTTATTAAAAGGGGAGGTGTTGAGGATGTCAAATCCCCAGAACTTACTTGGTAAATGGCTTAGTTTTGTAATTTTTTTGGAAATTTGAATTTAGCTGTTTTCGCGCCAAACGCGCTCTTTTTACCTTCACGTCATATTTCCCACTTGTAAACTATCTTAAGCGCTATTGGTCCATTGTTTCTTTGTGTGTGCTATTTATTAATGATGCTCAAGGACAATTTGTTGCTGTATAAATACGCTTGACTTTTTCCCTTATTTGATTGCTTGTACTCGGCTGCTTACGGAATATATATTCCCCTACTTGCCTTGGACTTCTTCATCTAGTTAGCGGGGCCTGGGACAACAGATTAGAATAGCTTATCGTGTCATTGTGTCATTGGCTTTCGTTCGTTACCACTGAATCGATTTAGTTCAAGCATATCATGTACGCAGTTGTTTTTGTGAGTTCTTGCGTTGTTGCTACTGTGATTGAAAATCTTATCTGTTTGGGTTGGCTTCCGTTTTATTTGAGTCTACAGTTTTCCTGTGTCATTTCTGGTTATTAGTATACCCAAGAATGGTAGTTTGTTTTTTATTAGTTGTTAAATCAGTGCACACTGGCTGATAGAATAAAACATCGCTTGTTTTTAGAAAAAAAATTATGAATATATAATAATCTTGTCAATTTAATTTCACTATAACCCAGATAAAACTTTACTGTACTGACGGCCTTCAGTGAATTAGTGAGAGGCGAAATAGTGCTTCTTAGACTTCTCCGCGAAATTCTAAGCCTATTGAAAAATATATTACATCCAATCGCGAACTAAATAACAAGTGTCATTATCTGCTTTTTAAAATATTGATAATTGATTTTAAAAAATATCTTTGCAACCATAAAAGTGGGCATGACATGATACTTAAGCTAAATTACAAAATTAGGAACACTTACTGCTGATGAGGACTATATATGAAAGTGTTGGTTGTGATTCAATGCATAGTCAATGATGTTTGTGTGGCTAAAAGGTATTCTTACTCTTTAAATTCTGGCTCTGAATCTCAACCTCAGCTTTTATAAGTATATAAACAAAACAGTGACTAGGCATCATTGCATCATAGTTGATAACAGTTCGTGATAAAAACCCCAACCTTTATAAGCACAGATGGATAGTGGCTAGCAGTGGGATCCAGAACGCGGGTTTTTCCTACTTGAGACTCGTTAGCTGAATGTACCTGCATCTGAGAGTTGATGTTCACTCTGGAACTGGAACCCAGTACCTTCATTTTATAACTTTCGTTCGCCTAATATAACTAAATTTAACCCTTCTTCGTTTACTATAATCAATGATGCATCATGTAATCACATCAAAGCTATTCATTCACTGTAATGCTATTGCTTTTTGTTGTTAATTCTTTTTTCTAACTAAATAGTTTGTCTCTGATTGGCTATTAACGTACTTCCAGGTCATCAGTATACTATACTTTTATAATTAATTGAAGGAAATCAATAAAATTTGTTTTGACTATCTATGGTTTATGGAAATTATTGAATTTTATAGTTAATATCACACAGACTTCAGTTAGACAACTATTGAAAACTATAAAGCACTAGTCAGCTATTTCCTCATAGTAATGGGGATAATGTGGCAATGCACATCCACGATTCCGCCGGAAGTTGAACCCAGTATTTTCAGATCTCGTGGTAAGCGCTAAACTTTCAGACTACTAAACAAGAATCCAATAGTTTAGACTTCAAACTTTAATAACAATTCACAATATTGCTGACTGCCACAGAGAAGCCTCATGGGCATGGGGCTAGCGACCCCATCCCGTAGTAAAAAATCTTGCTAGAAAAACGCCAACCAGATCAAGCAAATTAAACCATTTAAACTCTTCCCTGGGAGTTGGAGTAAGCATTATGACACCTCAGGATGAAAGCCGAAATTCTTCGGAAGTCACTAGGCCGACGCCCCTTCGAACAACCAGAGCAACACTTTTTATAGGTACATGGAACGTCCGGATAATGTGGGAGACCGGAAAGACCAGTCAATTAGCAATGGAAATGAGGAGATACAAATTGGCAGTACTTGGAATCAGTGAAACCCATTGTCTTTCAATTGGTAGGTCACATACAACAGGGATAGTTTACAGACACATCAGACCAGACTGACGTGGTGGGAGCTTAAGCAACGAATCGATTGGTTAGTTATGAACATAACTAACACAGGATCTACTGGAAGAACAAGAACCTACAATGGAGGACAACTGCAAAGGGATCAAAGAAGCACTAACGTCAATGTGTCAGGAGGTTCTGGGTTGCAAGAAGCATCATCATAAGGAACGGATCTCTGTGGGAAACCTGGACAAGATTGAAGAAAGGAAGAACAAGAAGACAGCGATTAACAACAGTGAACACGAGCACAGAAAGTCAAGGCACAAGCAAGTGAAGAAGAGTATTAGAGCTGACAAGCAGAAATACGTGGAAGACCTAGCAACGACAATCGAAAATGCTGCAACCAAGGGAAATATCAAACAACTATATGACACAACGAAAAAACTAGCATGGAAATGTAGTAAACCAGAGAGACCGGTCAAGGAGAAACAAGGCAAACCAATCAGAACAGAGGAACAGATGGGTAGAACATTTTGTGGAGCTCTTTCGAATAGGCCAACTCCATTGAATTCACCGAACATGGAAGCAGCACACACACCCTCCTGTACATGTCACTTCACCAACGGTCGAAGAAGTCAAGATGGCCATCAGACAAATCAAGAGTGGAAAAGAAGTAGGACCTGACAAAATACCAGCTGAAGCATTCAAGTCAGACATTCAAGCAACTAAAAGCATGCTCCACATTCTATTCAGGAAGATTTGGGAAGAAGAACAGGTGCCGACTGACTGGAAAGAAGGATGCCTCACGAAGATACCTAAGAAAGGAGATCCGAGCGAATGTGAAAACTACAGAGACAACACACTGCTATCGGCACCAGGAAAAGTTTTCAACAGTGTTGCTGAACCGGATAAAAGATTCAGTAGACGCTCAGCTTCGAGATCAACAGGCCGGATTCTGTAAGGATCGGTGGTACACAGACTGAATTGCGACGCCACGGATCATCGTTGAGCAATCAATTGAATGGAACTCTTCACTATACATCAACTTTCTTGACCATGAGAAAGCATTTGATTGAGTGGATAGGAGAGCCTTATGGAACCATCTTCGATACATGGTGTACCTGAGAAGATCGTTAATATCATTCACATTCACAAAGGAAAAAGCAAGATTCTCAAATACAACACCGAGAATACCAACCCAGTCACACTTGATGAAGAAGATCTAGAAGATGTGGAAACATTCACGTACATGGGAATCATCATTGATGAACAAGGAGGATCCGCTGCAGATATAAAGGCGAGGATTAGCAAAGCAAGGACCGCATTCCTACAACTGAAGAACCTATGGAACTCATAACAACTCCCAACTAATTTCAAAGTGAGAATCTTCAATACGAACGTCAAGATAGTCCTACTGTATGGAGCTGAAACGTGGAGAACTACTACAATCATCTTCAAGAAGGTACAAGTATTTATAAACAGCTGTCTACGCAAAATACTCAACATTCACTGACCGGATACTATCAGCAACAGCCTTTTATGGGAGAGGACAAACCAGCTTCCAGCTGGAGAGGAAATTAGGAAAAGACGTTGGGAGTGGATCGAATATACATTGAGGAAATCACGAGGCAAGCCCTAACTTGGAATCCGGAAGGGAAGCGGAAAAGGGGAAGGCCAAAGAACACATTACGTCGGGAAATAGAAGCAGATATGAAAAGAATGAATGTTAACTGTAAAGAAATGGTAAGGATTTCCCTGGACAAAGTTGGATGGAGAGTGTTGGTGGGCGGCCTATGCTCCTCCACAAGGAGTAACAGGCGTAGGTAAGTAAGTAAAATATTTAAAATCAACGAATATATATATTAGACAGCCGAAAAGGGAATTTTGTATGGTGCTCAAACTGGATTTTAAAACAGCTGCTCCTAAAGCAGATTGTGTGTTAAAGTATCAGATGTTGTTCACTGCGTAATCAAAAGTGTTTAATAAAGCTAAATAATGTTCACCGTTTCTCACTCTAAGTCTCAACCCTTAGTTTCTCAAGTTTGTAAACAGAAGGTTGGCAAAGCATTTCATTGTAGCTGTTGTTAGTTCGTGTTAAAAACTCTCACCGTAATTTGTAAGCCTAACTCAAACTCCAGTTTAACTGTTAAATACCTAACTCTAACCTTTTTGCATTATGACTGATGTCAGTTGATGACGAAAACTTATGGGTTGATGACCCTATTCATTACAGTAACCCGACTCCTAATATGTATGTACTTGTGTAAACTTGCCCCTTTTTCTTAACTACAAGGAATAATTTGAATTGTGATGGTTGATTATTACGATCAAAGCTGTTATTTCATTTCTTCACATTGTTAATTGTTTTAGAATTGGAAAGCGTTTCCTAATCGGCTAATCATTCACCAAATGTCGTCAGTTTATTATACTTTTATCACTCTTTACTCTAGAGCTTTAAAAATCGTGTCTCTGCTGCACATTTAAATATTGGTAGACCATCAAAACTTCTTAGATCGGATCTTCATAACGCAGTTATACAGATTTACTGAATCATTAGTTTTTAAAGTGATTCAAACTCTTCCATGTTCTTACTTGTTCTTAATCACATGCCGATATAGATGAATGAATAAATAAGTTGTCTGTATTTATTCAATAGTTTGATAATCTCCCCTTAATGTCTATGTATAATTTAATAAAAGGAACAAGTTTTTACAAAATTATTATCATATTTTGTCATTCATCTAATTATAACTGTAAATCACTTAGAATTTGTACGTGGATACCTTACATTATCAGATAAATCTCTTGTATTTTTAATGAAAATGGTATTTGATTCACTTAATAAAAACCGCTTAGTTTGTTTTCCAAGTATCACTGTTTTCATGCGGTGAATACATTGATGTATATTTGTATAAATATTTATGAAAAAACAAACAAACACGTATGATCGTATACTGTATGTGTTGTTATTTTGTATATGCACCTTCATTATATATCTGCACAACATAGTGGTATGGATACTTGTTATATCCTGAAGAGAATATAATTGGTTATTTCTCCCCATAAAAAATGAACAAGAACGGATACGAGTCGATATAAAGGAAGAAGGCAAGACCACAGATGAAATTTTTATTATTCACCTACCACGGATTCAAAAAACTATATTTTAATACAACAATTTATATCAGATTTATCTATCTGATTACTTGGCAAATATAAATATATTTAACTAGATAGAGGTTGATATCAATTAATCAGTGACTAAATCCATACACACAGTTTACAATGTCAATAGACTTGATTGGATTAATTAACATTATAATAAATGACCGAATTTCATATTTTCTGCTTCCTGACATTTATTATTAAAATTATTATTATTATTATTATTATTATTATTATTATTATCCTAATAATGATAATAATAATTATTAGTAGTAGTATTGTTATTATTATTTTTGCTAAAACGCTTACATAATCGGGTTTCCGGTTGGTTTACGATAAAGTGTATTTACGAACAATTGATAATCTTCTAATACAATGGAGAATGGGAACCCGAATAGAGTGAACGTCTACCACACAACAACACATCGACGTTACTAATCCAGGCACTGACATGAGATAAAGAAGAGATTTCCAGAATAGCATTATATTCTAAACAGAAGTCAACAATTGAAATTAAACAACTCTGTTTATGCAGTAACGTGCGATAACTTGAGAGCACATGACGTAGCTAACTAAGAACAACAACTAATCATATGGCAGCAAGGGCTTCTGAGGAAATATGAATAAGAAAAGTGTTTTATTGAAGTTATCCCCTATTGAAAATACAACGAGACTATAACATGTTGATGAGCTAATCAAAATCGATTGTGGGATTCCAAAATCACGACCCATATTTGAATTCATAACGAACACCTACAATCGGTTTACTCTGGGCATTTCAAATATGTTATGATTTAGCATCTGCAACAAATGGGATTGTTGAGAAGCTCCATTATTTGTGATTGTGGAGTCGAAATAACTCGTTCAAATGTGTTGAGGTAGGATATCAATAAAAATGAGAACATTTTTTTCTCGTTCTCGAGACATGCCATGTTTATTTTCTTAGACTGGATAATAAAAGGACCAGTGACTTTAGCTACTACTTTTGTTAATGTTACTGCAGCTTCAACAGTCAAGTGGTATGAATATTACGGAGAAATATGTGTTATCAATATAAAGAACCTAAATTATTTGTCTAGAGTTGTAGAATGTATGGTAGAAACCGATTAAACGATTACTAGGAAACGTTTAATTTCAGCTTTTGACTTCCGTTTAGAATATAGTGCTATTCTGGAAATCTCTTCTTTATCTCATGTCAGTGCCTGGATTAGTAACGTCGATGTGTTGTTGTGTGGTAGACGTTCACTCCATTCGGGTTCCCATTCTCCATTGTATTAGAAGATTATCAATTGTTCGTAAATACACTTTATCGTAAACCAACCGGAAACCCGATTATGTAAGCGTTTTAGCAAAAATAATAATAATAATACGGATATTATCAATTATTATTAACTATAGTTTGAAACCGGGCACACAAGTTTATACGAATAAGGGGATGATAAATAATCTATCAGTGCTTGTGTTGGTGTGGGTCATCGGAGTATTCTACATACAAGAAAGCCATAGTGGCTGATATCAATCCATCTTTAACTCTGTACTGATGTTGTTATGACCGTAATGTATCAGGTATACAAAGTGTTCGTGAAAGTATTTTTGATTTATGTCTGTAAAACCTGGGTCTTCTAAACCATGTTTCTTCAACGACTATGTGTTTGATTATCGTCAGGCGAAGCATTCCTCACGCTTTACGACAACACCATGTATTTAATCCTGAAGTTCTGAAACTAAGAAAAAAGCAACCAGGTGGTTGGCCTCTATGTGATTCCCTGATATGAAAGATACCTGTATAGGACTAACATCTTTTGGTCACGATTCTTTGGCTAGAACCCTGAAGCACATACAATTCAGCCTGTTACTGTCCTATGATTTCTGAAATTAACTTATTGTCTAAGTAATATCACATTTTTTGCAAACTGTTTACACGTGTGCTATTTTTGTCTTTTTTTAAATCCCGAAATAAAATAATAACAAACATTTACTTATATATATATAGTGAACAGTCGCAAAGAAAAGGACTTGTGGTACTGTACGATATGCGTGATACAAAATATTCCAATTTCGATTATCATCTTTGCATCAAATTGTTAAATTTATTCAAAGTAAGTTTTGTTGGTGGCTTATCTATTCAATTTCATGGTAGTCTTCATCGTGGAATGTAATCTTCACCTAAAGTAGACTGCTAATGTAATTCAAGGTAGTGCTACTCGATGGAAGTTTTGATTCTTATTTACCCAGTGAAACACCAACTAGAGATCGAATATGGGTTGTGTCATCAACTCTTACATGAGACGAATAAAAGTCACCTGTACAATTATTGATTGAGTTGAATCGATTATTGAAGAGCTGTTTACTGATCCTTTTAATTACTGTCAGACAATTGTACGAAGAATTATTAGTGATTTCGGTATCGATTGTCACATGCCTTGCCATACATACACACGCACACTGTTTACTTTTCAACTGATTCAATGTGATTTAGAAAAAAGCTTATAGAAGATGATAGTTCGTTTAGATAAAACTCATTAGCTGTTTGTATTTGTAAATTGTAGCGAAATTAAAATCCGTGAAGTATTGTTATGATTGAATGTTCACTGTTTGATTCAATGTGAACTGCAGCTTTACAGAAAGTAAAGGCTTATTGTTGTACCATAGGTTTTTCTCTAGACTCTCTCTTGAAGAAATAGGTATCATTACAATCTTCATTTTTAGAAGGAATACTAGTATAGATACAAGTAATAATTACTTACATTGAAAAACCTTTGACTTTATAACTACACTAGTTTAATGAACTGATACCTCTTACAATTTTAAAACTCGCTTAGTAAGTTTTTATAATCATTCGGAATTAGACATATACGAGAATATTTACTATTCAGCTGTTAATCAGTACAAGTATCTTAGTCTCTCCAACAAAATGATCAGTTATTATCCCAATAGTTCATTGGTAACACCTTTTACATTGATACCGGGGACGTTAGGTCATCTAAAACAGGACCCCGAAGACTGTAGATATACACCTTGCTATGGACTGCCAACTATCATGAAGCTCAAGTTTAATTTCTCTTGCCGATTACTTCCAACCATATATCATGTCTAATTTAAATAATCTTTGTATATTGTTTAAATCAACTCTCAGTTTGTCTTTTCGTTATTTGTCTTTATGTCGTATGTTGTCTCTTGATTCTAGATACTCAGGATTGCAGCTTTAGACCTATAGCTTGAAAGTTGATTAGTGTTACTCATAATCCACCGCTCTGAAACTAATTCAATTAAAATTTATCTGTTTGTCGACGTCATTAATGAACTGTCGATGAAAATTTTCCTTTTTACTCACGTTTATATGTCGATTTTTTATTTCCTGTATGATTTATCTCTTGTGTTATGTGGTTGGATACAACCGGTAGGAAATCGATCCTTTGAACATGGTGTGATCTGCAATCTTAAGAGCACTGATACTCTTTGTGAGATTCTAATATTACGCATACTCGACTATCGCCTATGTCGACGCCAGATGTTGGTTGGTATAGGAGTAAATTTTTTAAAAAAATGCTATAGACAGCCAAAACAAGACTTGCCATCAGTCCATAAAGTCATTGGCTGTAGTACTTGGCCCTGTTGCTATCTCCAAACTACCTGTTATTGAAATCTATGTGATTATTGTAAACAATGGTTCGAGACTTTTGGTGAAGTTGGTCTTAATCAGTTCCAATATAGCACATTCATTCACTGTTAATCTTCTTATAGTTCGAGAGTTTCTAAATCATATCCTGTAAGCCCGATCTTCATTTTTCGTACTACTTTGATATTCATCTTTATAGTTTCATCTCGATTTACTGATTTTGTACGGCAACCAATGTAGACTGGTGGACGTAAGCAAATTTAAAACCTAGTACATATGCCTGTACATTACTTTTTTGTTTATAAAGTTGGACTTACCTATTAAATATAAATATTAGCCACAAAACGTTTTCTCTCTGAGATACATTTTTCATCATTTATTTTGTTTTTATTTGTCCATATATATAATGTTTATGTCATTCGTATCCTCTACAAAGGGTGTTTATCCAGCTCGTCTGCGTAAAGTGATTATCATTGAACCACCATTTTGGTTTCGAGCTCCATTCAATGTACTGCGATTATTTGTTCGTGAAAAGATGCGAGATCGGGTAAGTTTTTGATTGGATTCTATTTAAATAGTCAACAGTTATCATTCTTAGTATGGGAATTTGTGGAGATTGTAGTATCTTAAGAGTTTCATTCACAAGTCGATATGAGGTAGACCACCATTGAAAACCTGTAAGCACAGGACGGCCGTTCCGTCCCGGTGTGGGACTTCTTAGCAGTGCTCATCCACGATACTGAACGTGGGACTCGAACCCAGGACCTTCGGTCTCGCGTGCGAACATTTAACCACCAAACCACTGAACCGACATCATTCTCTTTCTCTGATTTTCCGTTGATTTGTTTTGATTGGCTGTTTGAATTTTCATGTAATGATTTATTTTCGAATAACTCTTATGTTATAGTTTTGTGATAAGTTCTCAACTAAGCAACTGTCTAATTATTCGAATCAATCAGGAATCTTTAAAGTCTCAAATTAGACAATAATTCACTAACGGCATTACTATTCCAAATTCTCAAGAATTCATTCGTACAGTATCTCATATAAAGAGTAAATTTATAAAGAGACATTTCCATGTGGCAATACGATATGAAGGTGAAAACAAGAAATTCAAAATTCAAAATAGGATTACAAAAATAAGGCATTTACCAAGTGAGTTCTTGGGATCCAACATCCCCAACAAGGGCTGAGTTGTATTTACAACTGATTTATCACTGGTTAGTGACCAACGCTACATATGTCAGGTCCTTCTTAGTGCAGATGGAATTCTACCGATTTCTTTTCAACTATCTTCAACCTCCACCCTACATCTCAACACAGTGCACGCGATGTCGATTCGCCTAAACTAGTGGCCACATTTCAACTTGGTCGATAGAATTCGACTGTCAGTAATGAGTATCCATTCCTAATCTAAAGTATAATTACTCTCAAAAATACTATCATTTATTATAAATAAATAATATATTTGTAATATCCAAATGAGTAGGAAAATTAGATTTTGTGACGTTTCGTGACTCAGTGTAAGCCATTTCTTCAAAGAATAAATGACCAAATTAGTTTTGATTTGGTTATTTATTCTTCGAAGAAGTAACTCACACTAAGTCACGAAACGTCAGAAAATCTAATCCTCCTACTCATTGGGATATTACAAATATATTATTTATTTATAACAATCTACACAATGCTCAATTTATTCGAAATTATCATGTCGAACCTGTCACTTTTATTATTATTATTATCATTACTAAAGAACACAAACAGATGATTCTATATTCAATTATTACCCATAGTTTTGCACGTGTATGTGTGTGTGTGTGTTTGAGAGAGAGATACACGGAACAAACTCTTGATTAATAAAGTGTAACAGTTACCGAAACCGAAGTAAATAAAAGTGAATTTCTATCGGAAGTTTTATTGACTATAAGATAAAGTATTTTTAAATCATTCATTAGACCTACACAGTTGTAATCAGTTTTAAATCATATCACATCTAAAAATTATGTAACTGCTGATTTTTTTTTATTATTTCCTCTTATTATAATAGTTGAAAGCGTGAGTCAATTGAAGCTAGACCACCATGGAAAACCTAGCTTCAATTGACTGACTCTTTCAACTATAATAAATATTAAATCTCCACAAAACCCCTTCTTATTATAAGTTTAATATCAACGTGTTTTTATCTGTAATTTCTTGCATAATTTTAAGACAATAACAAAATTCCTTGTATTTATCACAAACTTCTGTATAATATAATTTCATGATATCGTTTTGAGTTTATTCACATATATGTATATGTTAATAAATTACACATATTCCAATTTTTTTTGTCTAGTTGAATGGATAAATTACATACTCAAGATAACTTGATACGTTTTTCTTTTTGTTTTATCAAACCTGTTTACGGAATAATTGTGTGATTGACAATTGAATAGACTTAATGTGTTTTTTTTTCTCAACCTTAAACCATATTTTCTGTTTATGTACTGTTAACATAGCAGCTACAAGTGAGATGTTAAAGATGATATTGTTCAAATTTCAATTTAAAATAAATAAATATTCGTCCTGTTTGGTGAAGATGCTGACAAAATGCCGAGTCTTCTGTTAGAACTGAATAATAATGCTAGGATGTTTGGGATGCGTTTCTCTCCATCTAAATGTAAATTGTTACTCCAGGACTGGCCTGCGTCAACACCTGAACTAAGGATAGGGAGTGAAGTAGTCGAACGCGTCGACAACTTCACTTATCTTGGAAGTCTGATCAGCCCTAATGGTTTGGTGTCTGACGAAATCTCTGCACGGATTCAAATACCTCGTTTGGCTTTTGCCAACTTACGTCACCTATGGCGAAGACGAGATATCCATCTATCAATTAGGGGATGAGTATACTCCGCAGCAGTTCGCTCTGTTCTACTTTATGGCTGTGAAACATGGCCATTAAGAGTAGAAGATACTCGTAAGTTACTAGTATTTGACCACGGATGTCTTAGAAATATTGCTCGCATCTGCTGGGATCACCGGGTAAGTAATAGTGAGGTTAGGCGCAGGGTATTAGGGAATGATGATAAATCAGTTGATGAGATGATGAATCTTCATCAACTGAGATGGTTGGGCCACGTGTTACATATGCCTGAACACCGATTACCACGACGCGCTATGATGACTAGTGTAGGGGATGGTTGGAAGAGAGTTAAGAGCGGTCAAACCAAAACGTGGCATCAGTGTTTGAAGTCACTAACTTCTAGTCTGATCCATGTTGGCAGATGCAGACTACCTGGTTGGGGTCCGCGTGACTATCGTAATAAATGGTTGGAGACTCTAGGTGACATGGCTCAGAATCGATCACAATGGCTTAGGTGTATACACTCTTTATCTTCCCTTAAACCTTGATACTAAAATTGCTTCATATCTCTCTTCCTTCCTATACTATATCCTTATATACAACCTATAATTTATATACTACCACCACCACTAAATTAACTACTTCTATGAATCCGGTGTTCATCTTGTGCTAACGAGGTATGGCAACTTGGACCGCTGCATAAATGTGCCTGGTCCTACGTTGTAGCTGACTTACTGACTGAAATATTCGTCCATCTCTGTCTGATCATAAATAACCATTTGTCAATGACGTTTTATTTTTTCAAACGTCAATCTAATGATTTAATGCCTAACTCAAAATAACTTATTTGAATGTTGGGTCAGAAAACTTTGGTATTGGATATGTATTCATCAATGTGTATAGCATCAGTTTTTGAATGTTCCATATATATATATATATATATAGTATCCAGCATTTTCAAGCTTTTTTCTGTTCATTTACTGAGTAAGTTTTGGATGTAAGAGCATGATTTTCACTAAGAATTTCAATTTAAGTTTACACTTTCACTTCGTTAACTTTTTTCAGGCGGTAAGTTGGGATGAGTTAATACTTACTTATATACGCCTCTTTCCCCCCATGGAGGAGCATAGGCTGCTCGACAGCATTCTCCATCCAATTCTGTTCGGGGTAATCCTTTCCAATTGTTTTCAGTTGCTATTCATCATTTTCATGTCTACTTCCAATTCCCGACACAGTGTGTTATTTAGTCTTCCTCTTTTTCATTTCCTTTGAGGATTAAAAGTTAGCGCTATAGTAGGGTATTAACAGTATACATTTAGACAGCCTTAAATGATTGAAATGAAACCTCTGGAGGGAAACTACGCCCTTATATCCAACAGTTACTAAAAAGGAATGGAAAAAACCTGGTCATATTATACTCTTATTTAGGGTTTTAAAAAGATGATCATCCCTATCTAAAATATTTGTTCGGCAAATTAGAATCTGAATACAACAGGGTTAGGGTTCTATTTTTTTAATGTTCATCTACCCCATATTAAGTTAGGCTAAAGTTTTGTGATGAACTTAGTTACTCGTGAAGAACGTTGGATGTGGAACTTATGTTCACTGACGGCCGAAGCTAGCATATTTTGTATATCGTCAGCGCAGCGAGGAAGAAATCTAAAAGACACCTAGCTGTGTGACATTAAAAGTGTGATCGCGATTTATAAAAATATGGAATTTCATCAAGACTCATTACTTTGGGAGCCCTACCACAATTCCCTCCCTATGTGAGCCGGAGACTATATATAGTCTGTCCGGCGTATTATTTCTTTGATTGAGACTCGTGAATCAAATTTCCGGTTATGTATTCTTCCTTGATTTATACGTGTATGTGTATCCCGAATGACTGACTAACGATAATATTCAACTCTACCAGAAACTTGAACTTAAGACCATACCTAGACAGGAGTGCTTATTCTTAAGACCATTTAGTTTGCATCCAGTGGCCTTAATTTTCTAGCTTCAGTCCATTTGAGATATTACACGTATACTATCTACTGTTGTTGGTGATACTCGTTTCACCTCTGACATAGATGAATTCCAATAATCACAGTTTCTCACCAGAACTCCAGAACTTGATACTCACCCAGACAAAGACAATCAGTTGGTAATGATTTTATCTTTATGGAGTCGTACGGTTTCAAGAATACAATACCATGAATTCTTTTTACTATTAAAACAGCCAACTAACATACGTGGAATATATATCTCACCATCAACGACAATAGGAAGAAATCATTCTCCTATGTTTTAAATTCATTTGCCACCACCACTATTAGCGCTACTATGTAATGCTACTAACAACCTTTTAAGATAAATTATCTACATAAGTTTATTTCCCTAATATATAATGGAAATTCTTGTGTTTGCCATAACCAAGAGCTAGCGAAATTTTTGTGTGGCTTTCTTTCCACTAATTTCTTTCTTAAAATCAAACAGGAAATGTTAAGTCTTCATTTGGTCAAGGCAGTTCCACTCGGAAAAAAATGGTTCATTTCTCTATGTGTTTTGTCTCTAGTGTTGTTGTTCACCTGTATTTTCTAGAAACAGATCTATTATTATTAATTAATTAATTTATTATTATTATTATTATTATTATTATTATTATTATTATTATTATGTGCATAATACACCAATTATTCAATTGTCTTAGTTATTTAGTT